ATGTCCCTAGAGACCTGCAATTCCCTGGAGGTCCCCCTGGAGCCGTGCCAATCCCTGGAGGTCCCCTGGTGTCCTGCCAATCGCGGGAGGTCCCTCTGGAGACCTGCCATTCCATGAAGGTCCCCAGGAGACCTGCCATAACCCTGGAGGGCCCCCTGGAGAATTGCCATTTCTCGGTCCCCATGGAGACCTGCCGTTCCCAGGACGTCCCCCTGGAAACATGCCATTCCCTGGATATCTCCCCGGAAACCTGCGATTTCCTGGAGGTCCCCGGAGACCTGCCATTCCCTGCAGGTCCCCCTGAAGGCCTGCCTTTCCCTGGTCCCCCTGGAGACCTGCTATTCCCTGTAGGTCTCCCTAGAGACCTGCCATTCTCTGGAGGTCTCCCTGGAGACCTGTCTTACACCGGAGGTCCCATTAAGACCTGGCTTTACCTGGTCCCCATGGAGACCTGCCTTTCCCTGGAGGTTCCCCGGAGACCTGTAATTCTCTGCAGGTTCCCCTGGAGACCTGCCATTCCTAGGAGGTTTCCCTGGAAACCTGCCATTCCTTAGATATCCCACCGGAAACCTGCCATTTCCTGCAGGTCCCTTTGGAGACCTGCCATTCCCTGCAGGTCCCCCTGGAGGCCTGCTTTTCCCTGATCCTCTTGAAGACCTGCCTTTCCCTGGAGGTCTCTGAAGAGACTTGCCATTCCCTGGAGGTCCCCTGGAAACCTGCTATTCCCTGGAGTTCCCAATGGAGACCTGTCATTCCCTGGAGGTCCCCCTGGAGAACTGCCATTCCCTGGAGGTTCCCCTGGAGACCTGCCTTTCACTTGTCCTCATGGAGACCTACCATTCCTTGGAGTTCCCCTTGCAGACCTGACTTTCCCTGGAGGTCCCCAGGGAGACCTGCCATTCTCTGTAGGTCCCCTTGGAGACCTGCCATTACCTGGAGACCTGACTTTCCCTGGAGGTCCCCCTGGAGACCTGCCTTTCCCTGCTCCCAACAGAGACCTGCTATTTCTTGGAGGTCCCCTAGAGACCTGTAATTCCCCGTAGGTCCCCCTGGAAACCTGCCATTTCCTGGAGGACCCACTGGAGATCTGCCATTCCCTGGAGGTCCCCTTGGAGATCTGCTATTCCCTGGAGGTCCCCCTTGAGACTTGCCATTCCCTAGAGGTCCGCCTGGAGATCCGCCATTCCCTGGAGGTCCCCCCCCCCTGGAGACCTGCCATTCCCTGGAGGTCCTCCCTGGAGTCCTGCCATTCCCGGGAGTTCTCCTGGAGACCTGCCATTACCTGGAGGTCCCCCCCCTGGAGACCTGCCATTCCTTCCAGGTCCCCATTGAGACCTGCCATTCCCTGAAGGTCCCCCTGGACGCCTACCATTCCCTGGAGTTCCCCCTCCGGAGACCTAAAATTCCCTGCAGGTACCCCTGGAGGTCCCCTTGGAGACCTGCCTTTCTCTGGAGGTCCCCCTGGAGACCTGCCATTCACTAGAGGTCCTCTTGGAGACCTGCCATTCCCTGGAGGTCCCCCTGGAGACCTGCTATTCCGTAGAGGTCCCGTTGGAGACCTGCCATTTGCGGGAGGTCCGCCTGGAGACCTGCCATTCCCTTTAGGTCCCCCTGGAGACCTGCCATTCCCTGGAGGTCCTCCTGGAGGTCCACCTCTAGACCTGCCATCCCCTGTAGATCCCTTCTGGAGACCTGCCTTCCCTGATCCCCCTGGCGACCTACCATTACCTGGAGGTCTCCCTAGAGACCTTTCATTCCCTTGAGGTCTCCCCAAAGACCTGCCATTCTCTGGAGCTTCTTCGGTAACCTGCCATTCCGTAGAGGTCCCACCGGAAACCTCCCATTCCCTGGAGGTCCCCCTTGAGCCCTGCCATTCCCTGGAGGTCCCCTGATGACCTGCAATTCCCTGGAGGTCCCCCTGGAGACCTGCCATTCCCTGGTCCCCCTGGAGACCTGCCATTCCCTGGAGGTCTCCTTAGAGACCTGCAATTCCCTGGATGTCCCCCCAAACACCTGTCATTCTCTGGAGCTTCCTCGGTAACCTGCCATTCACTGGAGGTGTCCCTAGAGACCTGCCATTCCCTGGAGGTCCCCTGGTGACCTGCAAATCTCTGGAGGTCCCCCTGGAAACCTGCCATTCCCTGGAGGTCCCCCGGAGACCTGTCATTCCCTGGATGTCCCCCTGAAAAACTGCCATTCCTCGGTCCCCCTGGAGACCTGCCATTCCCAGGAGGTCCCCCTGGAAACCTGCCATTCCCTGGAGATCTGCCATTCTTTGGAGGTCCCCTTGGAAACCTGCAATTCCTTTGAGGTCCGCACTGGAGACGTGCCATTCCCTGGAGGTCCTCCTGGAGATCTGCCATTCCCTGGAGGTCCTCTTGAAGACCTGCTATTCCCTGGAGGTCACCCTCGAGATCTGCCGTTCATTGGAGGTCCCCCTGGAAACCTACCATTCACCGGTAGTCCCCCTGGAGATCTGCCATTCCCTGGAGTTTCCTTTGGAAACCTGCAATTCCTAGGAGGTCCCCACTGGAGACGTGCCATTTCCTGGAGGTCCCCCTGGAGATCTGCCATTCACTGGAGGTCCCCCCTGGAGACCTGCCATTCCCTGGAGGTCCCCCCTGGAGTCCTGTCATTCCCTCCAGGTCCCCCTGGAGGTCCCCCCTGGAGTCCTGTCATTCCCTCCAGGTCCCCCTGGAGACCTGCCATTCCCTGGAGGTCCTCCTGGAGATCTGCCATTCCCTAGAGGTCCCCTTGGAGACCTGCTATTCCCTGGAGGTCACCCTGGAGATCTGACATTCATTGGAGGTTCACCCTGGAGACCTACCATTCACCGGTAGTCCCCCTGGAGATCTGCCATTCCATGGAAGTCCGTCCAGGTGACTTGCCATTCCCTGTAGGTCCCCCTGGAGACCTGCCTTTCCCTGGTCCCCAAGGAGACCTGCCATTCCCTGGAGGTCCCCTGGAGACCTGTCATTCCCTGGATGTTCCCCAGCAGACCTGCCATTAACTGTAGAACCCCTCTGGAGATCTGCCTTCCGCTGGAGGTCCCCTTGGAGACCTGTCATTCCCTGGAGGTCCCACCTGTAGACCTGCCACTCCTTGGAGGTCCCCCTGGAGATCTGCTATTCCCTAGAGATCCCCCCTGGAGACGTGCCATTCCCTGGAGGTCCCCCTGCACACCTGCAATTCCCGGGAGGTCCCCCTGGAAATCTGCCATTCCATGGAGGTCCTCTTGGAGATCTGTTTTTCCCTGGAGGTCCCTGTGGTGACCTTCTATTCCCTGGAGCTCCCACTGGAGGTCCCCCTCTAGACCTGCCATTCCCTGGAGGGCCCCTTGGAGACCTGCAATTCCTTGGTCTCCCTGGAGACCTGCCATTCCTTTGTCCTTCTGGAGACCTGCCATTCCCTGGAGGTGCCCCCCCCCCTGGAGACTTGCTATTACCTGGAAGTCCCCTTGGAGACCTGCAATTCCTTGGTCCCCCTGGAGACCTGCCATTCCTTGGTCCCTCTGGAGACCTGTCATTCCCTGGTCCCCCTGGAGACCTGCCATTCCTTGGTCCAACTGGAGACCTGCCATTCCTTGGAATTCTCCCTAGAGACGTTTTATTCCATGGTGCCCCCCCCCCTGGATACCTGAAATTCCCGGAAGGTCCTGCCTGGAGACCTGAAATTCCTTGGAGGTCCCCCCTGGAGACGTGCCATTCCATGGAAGTTCCCCTGGAGACCTGACTTTCCCTGGTCCCCATGGAGACCTGCCATTCCCTGGAGGTCCCCACTGGTGTCCTACCATTCCCAGGAGGTTTCCCTAGAGACCTGCCTTTCCCTGTAGGTCCCACTGGAGACCTGCCATTCCCTGGAGGTCCTCTTGGACCCCTGCCATTCCCTGGAAATCCCCCTGGAGACCTGCATTTCCCTGGTTCTCATGGAGACCTGTCATTCCCTGGAGGTCACCCTGGAAATCTGCCATTCCCTGGAGGTCCCCTTTGAGACCTGCATTTCCCTGGAGACCTACCATTCCCTGGAGGTCGCCTGGAGGTCCCCTCCAGACCTGCCGTTCCAAGGAGGCCCCCTCTGGAAACCTGCCATTCCCTGCAGTTCCCCAGGAGACCTGTCATTCCCTGGAGGTCCCCCTGGAGACCTGACATTACCTGGAGGTCCCCTTGGAGACCTGCCATTCCCTGCAGTTAACCAGGAGACCTGTCATTCCCTGGAGGTCCCCCCTGGAGACTTGCCATTACCTGGAGGTCCCCTTGGAGACCTGCCATTCCTTGGTCCCCCTGGGGTCCTGCCATTCCTTGGTTCCCCTGGAGACCTGCCATTCCCTGCAGGTCCCCCGGAGACCTGTCATTCCCTGGAGGTCCCCCTGGAGACCTGCCATTCCCTGGACGACCCACTGGAGGTCTGCCATTCCCTGGAGGTCCCTTTGGAGATCTGCCATTCCTTGGAGGTCCCGTGGAGGTCCCGTGGAGGTCCCCTTCTAGACCAGTCATTCCCTGGAGGTGCCCCTTTAGACCTCTCAATCCCTGGAGGTCCCCTTGGAGACTTGTCATTCCTTGGTCCCCCTGGAGACCTGCCATTCCTTCGTCCCTCTGGAGGCCTGCCATTCCCTAGAAGTCTCCCTAGAGACCTGCCATTCCATGGAGGTCCCCCCTGGAGACCTGCAATTCCCTGGAGGTCCCTCCTGGAGACGTGCCATTCTCTCGAGGTTCCCCTGGAGACCTGACTTTCTCTGGACTCCATGGAGACCTGCCATTCTTTGGAGGTCCCCACGGGAGACCTGCCATTCCCTGGAGGTCCCCTTGGTGACCTGCCATTCCAGGGAAGTCCCCCCTGGAGACCTGACTCTCCCTGGAGATCCCACTGGAGACCTGATTTTCCCTGTAGGTCCCCCTGGAGACCTGCCATTCCCTTGAGGTCCCCTAGGAGACCTACCATTCCCTGGAGGTCTTCCTCTGGGGACCTGCCATTTCCTGGAGGTTCCCCCTGGAGACCTGCCATTACCTGGAGGTCCCCTTGGAGACCTGCCATTCCTTGGTCCCCCTGGAGACTTGCCATTCCTTGGTCCCCCTGGAGACCTGCCATTCCCTGGATGTCCCTCTAGTGACCTTCCATTCCAGGGAGATCCCCCCTGGAGACCTGAAATTCCCTGGAGTTCCACTTGGAGACCTGCCTTTACCTGGAGGATCCCTTGGAGACCTGCCATTCCCTGGAAGTCCCCCTGGAGACCTGTCTTTCCCTGGAAGTCCCCCTGGAGACCTGCCTTTTCCTGGTCCCCATGGAGACCTGTCATTCCCTGGAGACCTGCCATTCCCTGGAGGTCCCCCTGGAGGTCTACTATTCCCTGGAGGTCCCCTTGGAGACCTGCCATTCCCAGGAGGTCCCCCTGGAGACCTGCGATTCCCTGGGGGTTCCTCTTTTGATCTGCCATTCCCTGGAGGTCCCCCCTGGAGACCTGCCATTCCCTGGAGGTCCCCCTGGAGATCTGCCATTTCCTTAAGGTCCCCCTGGAGGTCCCCCTTCAGACCTGCCATTCCCTGGAGGTCCCACTGGAGACCGGTCATTCCCTATAGGTCTTCCTCTGGAGTCATGTCATGAGTGAGGCCCTGAGTCATGTCATGAGTGAGGCCCTGAGTCATGTCATGAGTGAGGCCCTGAGTCATGTCACGAGTGAGGCCCTGAGTCGTGTCATAAGTGAGGGCCCTGAGTCATGTCATGAGTGAGGCCCTGAGTCGTGTCATGAGTGAGGCCCTGAGTCGTGTCATGAGTGAGACCCTGAGTCATGTCATGAGTGAGGCCTTGAGTCATGTCATGAGTGAGGCCCTGAGTCATGTCATGAGTGAGGCCCTGAGTCATGTCATGAGTGAGGGCCCTGAGTCATGTCATGAGTGAGGGTCCTGAGTCATGTCATGAGTGAGGGCCCTGAGTCATGTCATGAGTGAGGCTCTGCGTCAGGCCATAAGGGATGCAATGAGTTAAGGAGTTATATCATGAATGAAGCCATGAGCTCTGTCATGAGAAAGACGATGAGTTATACCATGAGTGACATATTGCATTACATCGTGAGTGAAGCTATGTGCCGTATCATAAATGAGGTCATGAGTTACGCCATGAATGAGGCTATAAGACGTTATGAGGAAGTTAGTTATACCATGAATTATTCCGGCGTGTAAATGGAGTTAAATTTTAATCACGTTATTGTTTGGAGAAGATGATGAACACAGAGAGGTCGTTGTAAAGGTAAAATGGTTATAAGATTTAAAAACATCACCAATTGAGAGATAATTATCATAAAATCTCTCATGCTTCCGTCACACAGGCTGTTACTCTGTATACTAGATACGTCTGGCGTAACAAGCATCCAGATCATGATCAATCGGTGTATTATGGATGCCGCTAGGCCTTAATATCAAGGTCTGGAGGCGACATCCAAAGTCTGGAGTCATACCGCCTCTGGGTTCAACCTCATCCCTGATGCCTTAAATGCCTTCCTGCACGATAAGAGACACCTTTGTTTAGAAATGCTGCCTTTTAATTATCAAGAGCTTTCAACTCATTTGAAGGTCATATTTCGGTCATTTGTCGAAAGATACTCTAATTAAACATCGAATTTATTGAGCGAATATCCTTGGGAACCGTACGATGTTGATTACGGAATATTTTGCTTGATTAAGCATTCATGCTTTAAAATGTATAACATAAAGCTGAAATATTGATTTGACTTTCACTATTAGTGATTAATAAATCAAGAAATTAAAATGATAATACGAAAAACGTCTTAAGATTAATATTAATTAGTGAAGCCAGTTTTAACTAATGTGGTCGCTCACTGGATATATAAACAAGAGTTCTGGTTCATTAACTGTAACAGCAAGACGAGTGAAAGCAAAATAACCAGACCTATAACATTTGAGTTCAACAGTAGACGGCCAAAATGCTTCCTGCTGACATTGCGTAGGCACTGAAAATCGTGGCGTTGCTTATCTGAGTACCTCGGTGCGTCCTGCAGCCATAATGTAGGTCTGAAAACACTCATTTCACTCTTCCTCTTTCTTCCTTCCTGCAAACAATTTCAATTAATCCGCCTTCGTTACATTAGACGTCTACCGTGTTAGAACCTTGGAGGGTGGCGTACACCCGTCTCAACAGACAGGCATCGACGACTTGCTCGGTTTTCTTGCTATCTTCCTTTGTTCTATCTTCGTTCGATACAGATAAATGAAAGTCTCAAAGTAAGCTTGGTAGTTATAGGTTTTCATTGTATGTTCAAACTGTGTTAGGAAAGGCTTATACAAACGCTGCAATGGCATATTTAAAGGATTTAAATATGCCGTCATTATTTCAAACAAAACTGATAACATTATTGATTAACTAATTTACTTAGGAAATTAGTGTGCAAACTATAGAAAAGTCGTATGTATCAAAACAATTAATAAACATTTGAGCAAAATTAGAGTGGCAATGAAAGCAACAATATCATGTTATTAAATACATAGTAAATATGTTTTTACAAGTATTGTTGCAATAACAATAGTAATAAAATGAGAGATAATTAAAGTAGAACTACAAAAAAGCAATAACTATCTGTATGACAATATGAAAACAATTACAAACATGTATTATTACAAAGGAAGCTCAGTTTAAAAATTTTAAATACCATTTCCAAAATCATTTTAGCCAAAGTGTATTTGCATTCAATGATTCAGTCATCTTATGTATGATTTATGAGACAATAGTATTCACTGACACTAGAAAAACACGAATACTAAGCTTTATTAAATATTGTAAATGTCGTGACCATAATACTGAAAATGTTTATCTTATAATGATGAACATAATGACGCAATATATATATAAAATGACGCAATAAATAAAATGACGCAATAAATAAAATGACGCAATATATATAATGTTGCAATGCATAAAAGCAATAAATTAAGCAGTAGATGCACGAAAGTGAATATAATGACGCAAGGGCCATAAAAGGGATAAAAAGGCCAAAAAGTGGAGATAATGTTGCAAGACAACTATAAAGTGTACAAAAATGATGTAATAGATGTAAATAAGTTGACCTAACGGTGCAAGACATGTGTAAAATTGAACAAAAGATGCAAGAGGTGAATGAAAGTAAAAATATGCTCGCTGGAGATTAAAATGCCGGACAAAGTGACGCTAAAGATGCACAAAAGTAGATAAAAGAACATAAAAAATAGGAATCATTACAGTGAAACTACCCCCTCCCCGCTCAGCTCGTTGTCGCCGTCTGGGGGCTTAGTGGGCGGCTGCCGGAGTGTGATGCTCCTTGGGACAGTCCTCTGTCCTTTTCTAGCCTTGTGTTCCTGCTGCCGTCCTCTCCAATTCTGCTGGGCATCTTTTCCTTTTCCTTCTGTTTCGTTTTTCTCCCCCCTCTTCTCCTATCTGCTTGCCGTTTCCTGCCGACCTTTTGCTCGTTCTGGTTCTTCCCTTGGACTTCTTCTACTTTGACGCCCGGGTGCTTGAGGAGGCATACTCTTGCACCCGTAGAACTGCAGTACCCGACGTCGAGAGCGAGGGGAACCTTTTATTGTCAATCCCCACTTCGTCACTGAACCCGATCTCGACGGACTGTCGGTTTCTTAAGGTGGCGTTTGTGGGGCGTATACTCACGACGCACCCCTAGGAGGCCCCGACAAGATCGGCGATAGCTTCTTGTTGGGTGTCCTGCCTCTAATTGTGGCTCCATGGTGGGTGTGGGGGCACATTCGTGAGTGAATTCGTAATTTCGTCAAGATGATAACCCCTGTTTCGGCTGCTTCTGGCTTACCTTTTCAGGCTCGTGGGGTGGGCGACCAAGCCCCCGAGTCGGTCCGTATTGGAAGACCGGGCTCTGTAGCCTCCGCTGCATTGGGCCCCGACCTTGCTCCTCCTTTGGCCTCTCTGACTCCTTCCCCTGGCTCCCCTCCCTCCTCTGTGGTTGGGTCGAGCCCCAAGCCCCCAGTGGTGACTACCTCGTCCCCTGGCGCGGCTCCTTCTCTAGTTGTTACTACTGCGCCTTTTAACCCCTCTCTCTCTGGGGGTTCTCACCGCCGTTCTCGTCACGGCCGCCCTCGCTCGATTCCTTCCAGTTCTGCTACCTATCAAGCCTTGTTTGGTCCCGCTTCGTGGGCCAAATATTTTGATCTCCTCCCTCTTGATTCTGCGCCTCCTGACGATTTCTCCCTTCATCGACATCTCATTGATTCCGTGGATGCCTCCATTACTTTTAACCCCACTCGTCTCGGTACGCGTGTCGTTGCTGCTCCTTCTCAGGATGCTGCTTCCCGCTTGGCTGCCTTATCCTGCCTTGGCGAGACCCCCGTTCGGGTCTCGAAGAACGTCCAGTTGAATGCCAGTGTTGGCACTATTTTGCTCCCGCCCCATGTTGCGACCGGTGTTCGGGACCTACGCGACTGCCACGACGATATTCGACATATCCTCGCTGCCCAGGGCCATTCTATTCTCCAGGTGGACACGTTTACTCGTCCCCCTCGTGGTAGTCGCCGTCAACCCCTCCGGGTTGTGAAGATTACCTTTGATGGTAGGACCCTTCCACCCTCTGTCATTCTTGCTGGTGCCAGGTGCTCTGTCCAGGAGTACATTCCTTCTCCTCGGCTCTGCAACAAGTGCTGGAGGTTTGGGCATGGTGCCCTCCGCTGCTCCGGGACTGTCTCTCTCTGTCCTTTGTGTGGTGGCGAAGGTCACTCTAAGTCGGAGTGCGCTTCTCCCCAGGCTCGTTGCCTCAACTGCGGTGAGGCCCATCCTACCTTCTCCCGTGCGTGTGTCCATTACAAGCTTGAGGCAGCCGTCCTCAACTTGAAGCACCGGGAGCGTTTATCTTTTCCTGAGGCGAGGCGCCAGGTTCGCCGGCTCCCGCCTTATGCTAATATCTCTTATGCTCGCGTGTTGCGCTCTTCCTCTCCTCGTCCTTCCCGCCTTCCTCAGACTCACAACCGTTTCCGGGCCTTGGACCCTGATGCGCCCACTGCCCCCTCCTCTGTTCCTTTGGGTTCTCTCCCGTAGGATCCTCCTCCTGGTCCTCTGTCTGGGGTTCCCCTTCCTTCTACCCGGTCTGTCGTGTCTTCTGTGTCTCCTTCCTCGTCCCCCTCCGATCCTCCTTCCCATCCTCTTCCTCCATCTATCGGCTCTCCCCGCCGCCTGTCGGTGCGGGCGGATGTCCATCGCTCTCCTAACGGCCGTCGTGTGTGCTCTCGTTCGGCTTCTCCTGTTGAGACACTGGAATCCGTTGCCCGGTACGTAGTTGCTGGGACACCGGTCTCTTTAAGTCAGAAGCGTAAGCCTGGCTCCTCTCCTTCCTCTTCCCCGGCGGGTAAGAAGGCTTCGCTTTCTTCCTCATGCCCTCCTTCTGGCTCTGTTGCTCCTTCCACTCCCATTTCAGTGCTTGCGCCCCCTGTTCCTGCTATGGAGGTTTCTTTGGCCCCTGCTTCCCTTTCGGTTGCTGCTCTTGCTGGGGTGCGCTCCTCTCTTTCTACTCCCCCTCTTCCTGCTGCTGTCCTTGACTGCTCCTCTCCGTTGTCTCCTCCTCCTC